TTGACCTTTCAACGGATTCAAGAGTAAACAGCGACGCAATACCTTCTAGGAATATAAGGGTTGGGTTATCGAAACGTTCCTTTAATCTATCTAACGCCTTTGGGTAATTCTCGCTTGTAACTTGAAATGCCTTGACAGTTTCTAGTGCTGGCCCTTTCAAGCAGGACAAAAGATAATTAAATTTTTCAATATTTGCAAGCCTGGGCTCTCGAGCTATGAGTTGGGTAAACGATGTAATGAAGTTCTTATAATCTGCATAATCACCGCTAAATGTTGGCAGCGACAATCGAGGTAGATGGGACGATGTGGTAACCGTTGCTGCGGCGGCAGCTTCGGGGTAGTGCACAGTGCTGTTTGCTTCTTCTCCTAGCTGGACTTGGATGCTGATTTTCACGGCGACGTAACTTTCCTCCAGATCTGCGCGCCCATTGTCAGCGGGGTCTAAGTCTTCAATGTCAGCTTGAACGGATAAAGCCTGTTTAAAGTATGACTCGAGAATTCCTAGACGACATTGTAATTCTGCATTGGAGAGCTTTTGATCTGATTCGTTAGCTGCTTCAACAATGGATTTGATGCGCGAAATATTTCGCTTGATGTTGGAGCGTTTGCGCTTACATTCCTCTAGCGACATTATCTATTTTGGTGGGTATATATGCTTTGCTTAGTTTGATGCTGATTTAGCGAAATGTAAAGTGCCTTGCGATAAGTGCCGGTAGTTGATCAATGACGCAAACGACGGCAGCGAAGAAAACAACAATATAGGCGACACAATACGAAGATGTGTGGGCAGCGAAAGTTAAGCGAGGGCAGCGAAAGTTAAGCGAGGGCAGCAATATAGCAGCAGCAGCAGAGTGCAACGGTAACTTATGCTCTCAACGAATGCAGATGAGCAACGATAACGTAGTAGCGGAAGAGAATCAGCAGCAAAGAATTCGACGTTAGCTAGCCTGAGCAGCTCGGCAAGTGATGAGTTTATATACCAGACAATGTACAAAATGACTCCGTTACCAAGTAATGGATTTATGTGCATACATACCAAATCATGTTCCAAAATAATTCCGTTACCATATATTTCCGAATATGACCTTTGAAATCCAATGTGCCTGTGTTTGCTTGAGTTGATTGTTGTTGCTTTATATTAATTCTATGTATTAAATTTTTGACCGAATTTGTGTGTTTTATTTTTGTAGAATACTACAGAATTTTTCCGAATTATTAATAATCAATTTTCGCGAATATACACTAGCCCCACGTTGGGCGCCAAAATGTTTTGTCAAGAGCTTTTTCTTAATCTAATTAATTTACAAGATTTTCGTGGGGGTGTGTATTCGTGTTATTATTATTACGCACTGTTATAAAAGCAAGACCTGATACGCTTTGGTTGAGCGACAATAGTATAATAATTTTATTTCGGTAATTCCAATTACGTACAAGCATGAATTGTAACAAAAGTAAGAGAGAGTACAAGTACTTAGATGTGTGAATATGTTCGAAAGTGAGAATTGATTATCTTAGTTAAGTATTATCTAGTTATCCGCTAATCTACAGTGCCTCTCACGATTGTTCGCACACAGTGGTTCGCAATTGTGATCCAACACATACCATTAATTATTTCCTTGTTTAGTACCTTCATTCGTCTATAGTTGAAAGATATTTAAAATATTTTTGACATTTAAAAAATCACAAGATGCAAAATTTGAGCTACCACTGGGAAATTAATTATTTTTAATAGAAAATATTATATTAAATAATCATATATGCAATATATAAATTTACGTTTCATTTATTATTTATTTTTATTTCCAGACAATTTCATTACAACAACGTAATTTTAAGCAAAAAATTGTCGCATTACTGAAACGTTTCAAGGCCTCCGAAGAGCTGGAGGGTGAGGTGAGTCGCGGCACTGCTGCATTACGTGGTGAACGCGATTTGGATGCGCTCTTCCAGGAACTTGAGTCGCTATCATGTTGTGAGGGTGACGATTCCGGTCCGGATATGGATAGTTTGTCTATTGGCTCGACACCGAAACCATCGTTGCGGCCATTCTTTACCAATTCGCGTATTATGTTGCACGATAATGGCGCTGCCGGTGGTAAGTGATTAAATGTGGAAATTAAATTGTAGAGAATAGAGATAAAAAAAGTAAAATAAAAAGTGCTTTACTATTTGTGTAATTAAGTGAGATCTTTAGTTTGTGTCGAAATATTTTCTACTCTAGAAGTATGTATTTAAATAACATAAAATAATAGCTAAAGCTGGTACTTACATTTTTTCTTAGTTAAATTTGGAGTTTTGTAGGCTCATTTTGATATACATACATATGTTCTGATTTAATATTGTTATAAGTTTCTAATGTTTTGTTAATTTTTGAGAATTAAAGAATAATTTTCTTTTCGAAGTCGGTATTAGAGAAATGTACTAAATTTTGTAATTCGAAAATCCGTTGACAAAATATTACTCATACGTCCCGCCCAACTCTGTGAGAATATTGAAAAAAAATTAACAAAATATCTTTATAGCATATTTTTTTCTATTTACAATTTAAAATCAAAAAAGTAATAATTAATTGTACAAGTTCATACAAATTTATCAAAATCAAACACAAATGTTTTTCCGTCATTTTTCGGGAAAAAATTCAGAATCGCGTTGTCTTAGTCAACACAATTTTAGTTTATAATGGGTGAACCTCGAAGAGTATTAAAATATATGTATAAAAATATGTATATATATCCATGATTTAACCTTTATTGAAATGCCTTAAGATTCTGCGGTCCGATGCCCCGGCTGACCTCTCTGTTGCCCATTCTGTTATGTCTGTGGACCAAAGTTTTCGTGTCCTAGTCCTTTATGCCTGCAACAGCGACTTTAATTACGTGTTTCAAGTCACGAATCCTCTCTGGATGGTTGGCGTTGCACTTATACTTAGCAGCTCTCTAAAAAACAATAATACAACAAAGTTAAATCATAGTTGCGAGCGACCAATTGACATCGCCGAATTGATTCAGAAACTGCTTGGAAGGCAAGTTATTTCACATGAATTTTGTGCGTAATTTTCCTACAGTCTCGATTGCGCTTTCATCACTTTAGAATTAATTTTCTTCACTTTTCATAAGCCGCAGCCAACGATAAATGACCCGATCTAGATAGAGTATAGCTTTTTAGCCGTTAAAAACTGAAAAACACTTCACATACCCACAAACCTCATTCTCTTTTCAGACTTCTCTCTCTGCTACGCATTATAAACTCAGAAAATTCTATGGTCTCACCAAGAGATAACTTTTTCATCTTCTTTAAAAAGAATTTTTTTCTAGTAATTTCACTAATCTTCTTCTGCAACTTTCTGTCATAACAATTTAAAGAAATTATGCATTTTAAATATCAAATAAGTTTGCTGGGGAAATTCGCACAGCTGTGCTCAGTGACTTTGCAATCAGAATTACTTAAATTGCAGTCTATTTCGAATAATTTGAATTAATGACCTAAGCAAAATTGCAACACTTGCTTAAATGAGACTTTTCAAAGTAGATTCTTTATGCAAATAGCGAAGGGCATGGAAAAGTAGTTTTTCTTTTTTATTTTCTCCGCCATAATTTTCATTATCAGAACGACTTTTCACTATGACACATCTAGTAGATTTCGTTACTTTTGGGCTAATTCTGAAAGTGTTTTTGTAAAGCATACAAAATCGTTTTGGTTGGTGAACAAATTAAGAGCTTCCCATTTTTTTTATATTTTTGAAAATTTTTTTTTATATTTTTTTCTTTCTATTTTTTAAATTTTTTTTTTTAATTTTTTATTTATTTTCTTTATTTCTTCTTTATTCATATTTTTGTATTTTTATTTTATTTGTTTTGCTTTCAATTTTTTTTAATCTTTACTCATTGCGAATAAAGAGCGCCATTAAAGCACAAAATTCTTTGCTTTGCCTTACAAATTTGTTCTTTTAGTACTAGAAAATATAATAATCGAAAATATCAACAGATTTATTATACAGCACAAATTGGTTTCGGAAAATGTAACCGCAATTAAAGAGAATATTAGTATACCTTTGCCGAACATTAAATGGTATATTCCTCCTCATTTTGGTTGGCGTCGTTTTTCAGTAGACATCACAGCGTGCCGATAAATTGCTACTGCCGATAAATTGCTACTGCCGATAGTGTTGCGACGACTATGACAGTTTATCGATAAAATAAATGTCATTTAACATTTCTGTATACACAATATGTATGCAATATTGTGTATTCTATGCCCTGTTTCAGTTAAATATTTTTACGTAAAATTGTTTATATTTTTTACTCTTACAAGTAAAAGCGTTTGGTTAAATTCTTCATGGCGAGACAAATCTGATGGACGCAACTAAATGCACTTCCAGCTCATGCTGTGATTCATTCTAAACATTACTCTGCACAACATTATCAGGGTTTAATGTATTATATATCAAACAAGTTGGCCACAGTTTCTTCTAGTGGTACGTCCATTGACTATACCACCTGTTGCTGTGTACTCCCTCTGGCATTTTTCACTTTTAAATCTGTAATCCCACCGCGCCTTAATATAATAAAAGTTAAAAGACTTTGACAAGCTCAAAATTATGATCTGGATATTAATTTGTTGAATAAAATTAAAATTTAATAAGTCAAAATGAGGCCGGAGGCTCGCTGTTACTGGTCATCTACTGGCTTTAAATTTTTCAATAACTTCCTTCTATTGCTGCTTAAAGTAAGGGGAAGCCGCTTCCTTTCGAAAGTACCTTCAACGAATTCTTAAAGGTAAAACATATACCTATATATGTCTACCTACTACAAATTTTGCATCATCTTAAAAACTTTAAAATCACCAAATTTCGTAAAAAAATAATGAGATTTCCAATAATAAGTGTATAGCTATTCCGGTAGATGTCTCTCTTGAAACCATAATTTTTAGACACTTGCCAAGTAAAAAGTACGCCAATAATAAAAATGGCATGATAAACGCTACAACAAGGCATTGAAATAATTAAAATTCACTCTAAAATTTTTTTTAAACCCATCTTAATTGAGGCCCATCTCCACCTCGATGGATATGTCAACAAGCAAAACTGCCACATCAGAATGACGAACTGAGTTGATTTAGCCATGTCTGACTGTCTGTCTGTCCGCCTGAGTTTCTTGAACGAAACTGATCACCAGCCGGAACCGGCCCGATCGATCGACTAAATCATACAGTTGCCATACAACCGATTTATTGAGATATTTTTCTTCACAAATACTGCGATATAACATTTAAGAACATGCAAATAGGTATTCTACACTCATAAAATGAAATAAACATTAGTACCGAAAGTCATCGAAATCCGACCACTTTGGCGTCTAGTTCCCATATAACCGATTTGTTCAAATATGAGGATTACTACATACAGCCCCCAGAAACCCATTTTTTTTGTTCAAATAGACAGAAAGTTAATGCGCTAAGATGAATTTGATAAACTGATGTAAGGTGCAAATGCTTCAGTCCAACTTTCTTGCTCTTCTTTTGCTGTATAGATTCCCAGGTTTTATTGTCTTATTTATATCTCATTCCTCCTAAATTTCACCAACAACACAATTCCTTAGTTTTTTTTTCTTAAATGCTTTTCACTATCCACTTTCACCATTCAATGCCGGTCAAAAGCCAAATTCTAAATACACCAACAACAATGCTATTAGCAAAAGAAAGAAGAAAAAGGACATTGCCAAAATTTGTCTGAAAATTTTCAATGTCGTGGCCAAAGCAATAACAAAATATGTAATAAAATTGAATGTGAAAGCAATAACAACTATTTCCCTTCACTACAAATGCCTTACTATTTAAGACCGCTACTTTATGCTGTTTCCATTACAGCAACAAAAGAAAAAAATTACGCAATCTGTCGCCATTGTGACCTTAACTCGGTCAGGGTTAAAGCTGTTTGCTACATAAGACTAAGTGTAGGTAAAGAGCAAATGTATGAAATGAAGGACATCATGGAACTGTTGTAAGATGAGAGATCAGAGTGGCCTTTTCTGTGTACATGTAAGTAAGTGGAAAAGCAAATAACTGGACAATGACTGACAAATGGTCAAATTGAACAAGGATAAAATTAGCAAGAAGAGTTATAATCTACAAATATATAATATATACGTACATAACTGTGCATAATCAATAACTGTATTTAAGTAGCATATGTGTGTATAAATGCACCGTTTTGAGTACCATCTCTGTTATTGAGCTCATATCTGCTTCAACTATTGCCTGTATGGAGATTGCTTGAGCCAAAAATTGTGCAACTAAGCTCTGAAGAGAGTACTCCAGGATTATTCTCAATTTATGCTTGAATTTGTCCGGTACAGGTATTATTGTATATCAGTTTGTTTGCTTCATACCTTGTGAGTAATTCAGCTTATTATAGCCGAAATATTAATAGTCCGCCAGTTGTTTGTTCTTTTAGCCGTTTCGGCGCACATTGCAGACACGAATGAAGCCACTTCTTTCTACATCTTATCTTTCCATCGGAGTGAAGGCCTCCTCTTCTGCAACCATCGCCCAACGCAGCCACTGTCTTTTTGTTCGTCAGTGTCAATGCACATGCATTACACACCTCATCGTTCCATCTTCTGCAGAATTCGGCGGTGGCTATACGCTGATAACTATAAATCTCAGCAATTATGCGCTCTCTAATTAGTTCTGAAACTTTTATTATTTACGCCAGCATTAAGTAAAAGAATTCACCGAAAAAGAGTCACCTAAACCGTAGTCCCATTTGACATCGAACGGCTCGGGGAGGTCCTTAACAATTCCGACGAAGCTTTTGGTTTCCATATTCGTATAGCTTCGTGGGGATACCAAACTCAGATGTAGCAGCAAAGATAAATCTCATTTGCATGCTGTAGGATACAGCTTAAAAATCGACAAAGTAGCGGTGGGTATCGATCCATTTATATTCCAGAATTTGGCACATGTTGTATGAGTATATCTGGTCAAAGGTAGATTTTCCAGTTTGTTGACGGTGGGTTTTAATCCCAGATGGGAGAATATCCTGCTTTAACTTTCAATCGCCTGACATGCTTTAATCTGAGCATATTCTGCAAATAAGCTCATCCTTACATTTGGTTTCGATTTGGCCATATTTGGTTGTCTCATATTCATTGCAGTTAAGCAAGAAGTACCAGGGAAGTCACTCCGACTTCTATGTAAAATTGGATCCTAGAAAAATTTGCGAAAATAGAATTTTTTGTATTTTAAAATAACGACTTAAGCGATTATTCCATAAACGGGGTTTTTTTTTTAAATCTTAATGGCAGAAATACACTCAGAGGAGCTGAAAATTCCCAGTCGATGGACGATCGGGTCATGTATATATTATTCTATAATTGCTTTTTCCAGCTATATTAATAGCAACCACCACGGAAATATACTTACATATATTGTACATATGCATATTTTTGTGCAGAAAAATACTGAGCTTATAAGCGTGGGTGCGTTTTATGTGCATTTGCTCAATTTATGAACGCATTGCATAGCTGAAAACTAACTGATTTACCGTTGATTTCATTCTCATTTTTGTTTTTGCAACTCCGCAGTTAGGCTGCTGTACAAACATTGATTACTGCGTATAAGTGGAAGAAGAGCATAAATTATTGGTCATTTCCGTAGACAATTTATGGCGATAAATTTATTAAAAAGTTTTAAGGAATTCTTGAAATATTTTTATGGCAATCACCTAAAAAAATATTATTTTATTAGCCATATTCATATGCGAACGGCATTTTTGTTTGCATAAAATAAAGGGTGATTTTAATACAATAGTAATTCAATATTTGAAGATTATTTCAGGTAAATGTTGACCGTGACTGCGTCTCAAATGGTCCATCCGCATAGTCCAATTTCGGCATACTCTTTCCAATATTTCGGCAGGTATTTCTCGAATAAATGCTTCAATATTGTCCTCCAATACGTCAATTGAAGCGGACTTGTCTGTACAGACATTAGATTTAACAGAGCCCCACAAAAATCGCACGATCTAGGCGGCCAATTGACCGGTCCCGAATGTGAAATAAAATGTTCACCAAACTCGCCTCTCAATAAGTTCATTGATACGCATGCTGTGTGGCGTGTTACACCGTCTTGTCGAAACCACAAGTATAGCTCTTGCATTTTGGGCAAAAAAAAAAGTTTGATATCATTTTACGGTAGGGCTCAGCATTCACAGTTACGCATCATCTTTGAAGAAGTTCGGTCCAATGATGTCAGCAGCTCATAAACCGCACCAAACTGCGATTTTTTCTGGATGCATAGGTAGCTCTTGCAATACTTCTGGCTGATCTGTTTATTACGCACCCATCAAGCCAAAAATGAGCTTCGAAGCGCGCGTGGAAGAAACGCGCGATGAACTTTCTTAACAGAGCATGGCAGACCAAACTGAAGATGTTTGACAGTGATACAAAACACGAAACGTGCGTCAGCTGCTTAGACCAGTATTGCCAAAAAGATAATAGCTAAAAAATCACCCTTTATTACATCTCTTCGGGACACTGATTTCAGAGCTGATCGTCATTTTCCTTGTAGCAGCTTTAGTTTTTGAGATATTTTTCATTAAATTGAAGATTTTATTTACCATAGAATTTACTTTAAATATATACCGTTTACTCGAAAACTTTTTACCATTTTAAATGTTATGTCATTGTGCCTCTCACGTAAACCCCAACCAAATTATTTCATAGGAAAGAACAGATGGTAATCACTTGGTGCGAGATCCAGACTATTAGGTGAATGCATAAGAACGTCCCAACCAAGCTCATGGAACTTCTGGTCAGTCACTGTCAATGTTTTTAGTCTGGCGTTGTCCTGATGAAACTCAATTTTCCAAAGCTGGGGGATTCTGGACGAAAAAAATCTATCGGGCTTAGAGACTATTTATACTGGCTCACTGAAGCCAGTTTTTTGCGCAAAGTTTAGCTCCTGGTCAATTGAAACAGTGCTGGCATGACAGTCAGACTCGACGCTTTTTATTATAATTTATTAAATGTTCATGTCCCTGTATATGATTGCTTTCTGTTACCATCTAATATAGAGCTCTACAGACCTTTTCTACACCTAGTGCTTCCGCTTGAGAGAGATGCCAAGATCCTTGGTAGAACATACACGTACTGTTAATTTCCTTATGCAAGACTCATTGGACAGTTGATGCAGGCGTACGTTAAGTGTGTCTCCGTCGTACATGACTTAATAGAGCCGGTTACCGCTACACATGCTGCTCTCTCTATTAATTTTTTGATATAATTTTGCTTTTCTAATGCTGGCCATCAAACCAACACTACACGTGCAAAAATTGTTCTAATGACAGTTGGAGTAATCCATCAGGCAGCGTTACCACCCGTAAAAGCGGGGGAAAAACATTCCGGGCTTACGTCTGCTATCCGAATCGCTTAGCCGTTTGATGCTATAATCATTCAAAAGCCTCGATTCCATTAATCTGCACCCCTTGTTGACTATGCCGCCCTCACACAGAGAAACAATAATATTAGATAATTTTACATTGGTAAAGGCTCCCTCTGAGTCAAGAAAGCCCACATTGTGAATTGCATGTGATTTAATGATTTATCATCTCATGTAGGCCAGTTTACTTTGATCGACCCTTCATGTCTGTATGTTGAGTCATCGTTATAGTATTGGCAATGGTTCATTTAATCTTTATATCCACTAGTCTCTCTAGAACCTTCAATATTAAGGAAGTGAGGCTTATTGTAGGAACAACACTTTGACTCTTTTTAAGCATTCTGTTGTGTAGGATAGTGGGCCATTGGCCTTGTAGATCTTTTCAGGCCTCATTACCATTGGTTCCCTTAGCTTCTGTAGTATTATTGGGAAAAAACTGTGAATAGCGTAAGCAATTTTAAACTTTTTTTTATTGAACCTCCATTACCGTAGTTTTGCAGGCCAGTAAAAAAACATGACTGTAGGGAGTTGATTTTAAATCAATGACCAAAAATTAGTAAACGACAGACATCAAATTCGGTGGAACAAAAGTTTAACTTTGCTACATTGTGTAATTTTAATTTAATTAGTCAATTTAGTTTTTGTTTTATTTTTATTTACTTGGATTATTTATATATTTCTTAACATTTTTTAAAACAATTTTTTATTATTTTTGTTTAACGTTTTATACTTAAACATATATGATTTCTTATTAAATATTTTGAATGATTTTGTTTTTTATATATTATTTTTTTTAAATTTTTTTTTAATTATTTTTTTTAAACTTTCCTTTTAATATTTTCATTTAATTTTTTATTTATTGTTAAACTTAGCATAATTGTTGCATTTTGATATAATTAGATATTGATATACATCTAACGGTAATTCAGAGCTCAAAATATAGTTTTTTTCTTTTCAACCAATAAATATTTTAACTTCATAAAGGGTAAACAAAATATTTATACATAATTGGAAAAAAAAAATTAAATTATTTTCGAGCTCATCATGTAAAAAGTAGGAGCAAAAAATTTTATTGTACGTACCAAAGTTATGACGTGTTAATTTCTTTTGCAGCATCCCATATTCATACTAAACATACATACATACACATATATTTAAAAATGCATTTCCGATTATAAAGCATCTTCATATTTATAATACTAATTTAATGCTCTTATTTATTGACTATATTGCATACATATATATCATATACAATACATAGAAACATATTTACATACATGCATCAATGAATACAAAAAACGTATATTTGTTAACATAGTATCATATTCAAAATTTCATATTTAATGTAATTAAAATCAATAATTTGAATTTTTATTATGTATGTATTTATTTTGATTGAAAGATTGCATGGCTTGAACGATTTCTTTTGCAGGCAACTTTGAACGCAGATCATCGGATAAAAGCGACCAATTGACCAATTCGTCATTCAATTATGATAATACTAGACAAAAATGCATTCATTTAACAAACAATAACAATAATTCGGCAACAACACCAGGTCTGTGTAATTCCTCTATACCAAAAACCAACAAAAAAAAAATTCAGACAAAACAACAAGAGAAAATTAATATACAATAATTCACTTTAATATACATTAACACTGTAATTTATTTAAATTTCTTTTTCACCTTTAACGTGCAATTCAATTATTTTAGTTTTTATTTTTTTCTTTTGGTTTAAGAATTCATTTTTCAAACTTCCAAGCAATTCATCTCTTTTTGGTAATTTTAGTTTTTAATTGTTCAAATTCTCTGTTTTATATATAATATAATATATACATAGATGCATGTACATATGTATTATATATTACTAAATGTATTCTAGTAAAAAGCCATCCATTATTTTTGGAATAGTCGGCTTTAGTGAGCTGTATCTCGTGTTTCATAAGTGCGATCGGATTGCGCTAGTTGGCGTTAGAAAGTTTATAGTCCTTGGTTCCATCAATTTCGATTCGGTAATTTTGATGTAAAAGTTGCTCCACGATGTGGAAGGCCAATTGTCTAAAATATATATAAAATAATGGAAATCGTCCAGAGTGACCGTCATGAGAGCACTGTTTCGATTACCCTAAGAGCTAAACAGTTTCGAACCATTTGAAAAATACCAAATACACTAATAAAATTAATGTATGGGTGTCACAAGAGTTAACGTAAGAAAAAACCGTATGGACCGAATTTCCATCTGCGATTTGCTGCTGGATCCTAAACAAAATCGAGCTATTCATGGAGCGTATGGTGTTGAATAGTGGATCACCTACAGCAACTTCAAATGAAAATGTTCGTATTGAATGGGTGGAGAGCCGGCACAGAATTGACGGCCAAGATGGTTTTATTCAGTGTTTGGTAGTATGGGCTCATCCACTATGAGCTACTCCCCTACGACAATAAACTCCTAATTTGGGCCTGTACTCTCAGCAATTGGACCGTCTGAAAGAAGCAATCGCCCTTAGGTGCCCAGGCTTGGCCAACAGCAGGGGAATTATGTTTCATCAGGACAACGCCAGGCCACAAACATCGTTACTGACTCGCCAGCAGCTTCGAGAGCTTGGTTGGAACGTTCTTATGCATACACCTTATAATCCAGAGCACGTACCAAGTGATCTGTTTCTTTCTATGGCGAATGAACCATAGTGAGTGGCTTGTAAAAATTGATTGTTTCAATTTTTCGTCGATAGGAACAAGAGCTTTTATGAGAGAGGCATAATAACACAATCATCAAAACGGCAAAAAGTTAACGTGCAAAATAAATCAATAAATAAAGCCTTCAATTTAATGCAAAAATAATGATTGAAATAATTAAGAAATTAAATTAAAAAAAAAATTTTTTTTAGTTTTCACATTTTGCTTCTGTTATTTTTTCCTTTAGTTGTAGTTTTCTCTGCTACTTTTTTAAGTCTTTTTTTTCGCTTTTGAAAAACTCTTACACTCCATACCACTACAAAACACTGACTTCTCCTTACTCCCCCTTTGAACACTAATTCTTTCAATTCACACCATTTTTCTTTTCTAAATTTTTAATCCACACAAAAATGAAATGAATGTTTGCCCCTCGTTAGAATCCTATCACTTTTATCTGTTGAATTCTGTTTCATTTGCTACGTAATTTATAGTGGATGCAGGCAATGGAAAGCGAGAAATAAATTAAAAAATTATTTTAAAAAATTAAATAGAAATATAACTCAATATATAACAAATGGAAAATTAATTATTAGAAATCATAGTTAGCTAATTGTATTTGTAATCGATTGTTTATAATTCCTGGAAAAGCAGTTTCAGAAATTTCCAACGAATTTTGTTGCACATGAAAAATTTAGGGAAAAAATGTTTTTTTTTTATTAGTAAGAGAACGTTCTTTCATTAGTCAAATACATATATATTTTTGTTTGTAAATTAAATTTTTTAATTAGTTATCTATTGTAAATTTGGACTTAAAAATAATATATAGACAGCTGGTATTACAACCATTACAGCCAGTTACACGAATGCAATTTAAATAGTAATTGCAAAAGCAAATCGTGCAGAAAAAATTACGTTTTACTTTAAAATCGATTTCGTGATTTGGTTTATAAATACAAGTAGTTATTTTCTTTTAAATAACATTTTTAAATTTAAAAAAGCAAAAAAAAAAATATATATATGCAAAATATAATATATAACGTGAATTTTTTAGTCACATATATTGTCTTCTTTTTTTTTTTTAATAATTTTCAAGTTGCAAATAAAGCATTATTTGTACATTTCAAATTAAAATTATTAACATTTATTTGTTTCTCGCTTTCCGTTCAAAGCCAAATTAATTTAAGAAATTCAAATGTAGTCGTACTTAAATTAAAAAAAAAACTAATTTAATAAAAATTACTGCATTTTGTTATGCTATTACTAACTGTTATTTAGAAACAAGCTTATATTTATAATAAAAAATATTGTAAAATTTGTCAAATAATTATTATCCAATACTCATATTTATATATAAAATTTTATTGAATTACAAATAGTATCTGGGAAATAAGAAAGAATTTTATATTTAAAATGTAATTCGAGAAAAAAAATATAACTTTTTTTTCTAAAATCATGCATTCATATATGTATGTATTGGGTGTAAGCTTTAATTCGTGCGGTTTTTTTTTCGAAAATTAAGACTTTATTGTGAAAAAATTGTGATATATTTAATGTTCAAAGTATTGCCCATCGGAAGTTACGATGTTTGCCCATCTTTATGACAGTTTGTTGATCCCATCCCAAAAGAACTTTTCCGGCTTGAAGGTCAAGAAAGAATCGAGCCAGTTTCTGATACGCTGTTCTGAAGTGATGCGCACTCCGATGAGGGCATTCTGCATTGATCTGAACAAGTGGAATCGGCGAGTGAGGTAGAACTTCCCACTCACAGTTTTCCAAATAGTTTTTAACTGGCCTTGCAACATGTGGCCGAGCGTTGTCATGATGAAAAATTATTGATTCGTGTCTGGTCACATTTTCTGTTAGTTTTTCCGCTGTGGCCCTTTTCAAACGAATCAATTGTTTTCGGTAGAGGTCCCCATTGATCGTCTCAACCGATTTCAATAATATAATATAGCACACCCTTGTGGTCCCACCAAATATAAATAGCATAACCTTGGCACCTTGGATATTCGGCTTTGCTGTAGATGTCGATGGTAGGTTGGTTATTTCTGAAGACCTCCGCGATTGGCTCGCATATATTCCAGCCGAGTGGCCCAATTTTCGAACACTTTTTATATCAATTTGGGTCCTATTTCAGCAATAACACGTCGAATATTCTCTTTCAAGACATCAATCGTCTTGGGTTTAACTGCATAGACAAGCGACTTCACAACACCCCACAAAGAGTAGACCAGCGTTGTTATGTCGCACACTCGTGGAGCTCACGACATAGGCCCACAATGGAAGATAATGCCCTCACCAAAAGTTGTTCTCAGAAAAATTGTTTGTTTCCTTGGTTGTATCTCATGTAGCGCGGAGTTGTTCGAACTAGAGTTCGTCCACATTTATATCCTTCAATTTAGGAACAAAAAAGTCTTTAATCATAGCGTTCTCCATTGACTGTAACATTATGGGAGGCTTCATTTTTGAAGAAGTATGGACCGATGATTCTCTCTGGCCATAGATAGGGCACACGAAATTTAGACTTTTTTAAGGTGTAACGGCGTCTCTACAACAATTTTCTTTAATAGCTGTCAAAGAGAACAACTCTGTAAAAAGTAAAAACTAAATGTCTAAAAAAACACCCTTTAAATTTTTGAATTTGTAGTAAATTTAAAAAAATTTAATATTTCTGACATTAAAATTTAAGCCAGTTTAGAAGCGGCCAAGAATGTAAGTCCCTCTAATTGTTGGAAAAACATTGTTTGAGGCTGTAAGAGGCAAATCTGACCGCAACCTTCCGTTATCATTCTCGGGTTCAAGGCAGTTTGGCCTGTCACTAGTATTCGTTCACCGGTCCGTTAGATTTTTCGATTATTCTTCAGGCGCGCCCCTCTGTCACTTTGGCGGGAAGCGTCCTGGATATGCTTGGATCCTATGCAAAAATTAACGAATAAATTCTATAATATTCAGTTAACATTTTCGGCTAATTTGGAAAAAATTTCAAACTCCTTTTCTTAATCATTCGTAAAAATTTAAACGACCAAGTCTTACGAAGCAAACTGTAAATCTTTGTCCCTACAGAGTCAGAAAAAATATATAAAAATGTAGGTAAATATTTGTATATATTTTACCCAAACGCTCCGAATTATCAGTGACAGTCTCACCGTTGTCGTTTTCAAAGAACCAGGGTCCAACACACCTCCGGATCAATGAGCGCACCTTACAATAAATTTCTTTTTTTAGTTGTAATGACCACGGAGCCTCGATTGGGACAATTTTACTTATTTACGTTACTTCCGAGAGAGAGATGTGCTTCATTGCTGAAGAAAATTTTGTTCGAAAAATCGCCTGCCACTGCGGCTTGTTCAAGCACCCAAACGTCTTTATACGGCAGTGTGCATTGTCAGCTGCATTCAGTTGTGGTGTGAGCTGGACTTTATATGTGTGTAGGAGTAAGTCCATAATACGATATAATGTGCAGTAAGAAAGTCCCAGCTCTTGAAAAACTTCGAAATAGACAGACTCGGGTATTCAGGTATTTTTTCACTTACACTAGCGATATTTGAGCTGGAACGAGCAAAACGATAATGGACAGACCTTATAATATCTGCAACCGATCCAGCCGGTACCATATGCGACATAACACGCGAAACAATGGAATTATTGAGGGGCGGGTTCGGTGACCATTTAATTTCACGTTCGGGACCGGCCAATTGGCAACCTAGATCGTGCGATGTATCGCCTTTAGACTATTTTTTTTTTGTGGGGCTATGTTAAATCTGATATCTATACAGACAAGCCCGCTTCAATCGACACGGGGGACAACGGGCCGAAATGTTGGAAAAAAGTATGCCAAAATTTGGCTAAGCGGATGGACCATTTGCATGAAATAATCTTCAAACAATAAATTATATGGGCCGTACAACCGATTCAACTAAAACTTCATGCATTTTTCTGAATTTTTCTTAAAAAACTTTCTTATAGCTTTTATAAAAATCACCCTTTATAAAAGGCTTTGTCCTGAATGACTGCCCAAGCGACTCACAGCCTAAACCATTAATCGTAGAGACATTGAACTTGGAGTGAAAATTCTGCGTATTAAGTAGGCAAATTTTCTGTGATGTGGACCAGTAAATGGAATTTATTTTTAAATTGTTCGATTATCATGAAAGTTGGTATATAGATAGATCTTTGACTAAAAGTTTCGCTTTCGGAAAGTGGACCTGGACAGGAGAAGCTTTTAGCCTAATTTAACGACGGCTGTGGCCCAAGAATCGATTCGATTTGTCTATGTTAAAGTATGGATACTTTTTTTTGGGACCGATCAATATGAAATAAACATATTTGTGGCTCGATGTGCTTGAAATATCAAGAATATACAACTCTTTGCCTGGGCTAATATGAGAAGCACTTTTTTTCTAATAATAAAAATTTTATTTCATGCCGGCGAAATCGCGTGCAAACTCTAGTGGACAATACAATATTTTTAGCAATAATTAATTAAAATATTATTTTTGGCTTATCTATAAACATTAATAGATGTGTAGTTAAGTTAAAAAATTTATACCTTCTACACTAACTGCCGTTAATTAAAAATTATTCCTTTTGTTATCTACAGTTATGTCTGCGTTAATATTAAATAACTAGATCTAGAAATGTGTGTTGAAAACCCTTTTATTTTTATGTACATTTGTAGTACTTTTCTCTATTTACTCCTCCGATTTTACTTCACCAAATTTATGTGCATAATTCCTACCAATTGCATAAATTCTCGTATTATTATTTACTGTCAAATTGTTGTAAATTTAAAAAATTTCCTTTGTTCACAGATCGCCCGCTGGACTGTCGCAACGATAGTTCTGGCAATGAGGGCAACGCTTTCAATACCGACGGTCAGAATTCAGATCCACAAAATAGTCCACCACGTAGTGACAAGGACTATATGCGCTTGCAGTTATTACAACAGCAGCAACAGCAACAGCAGCAGCAGCAGCAACAACAATTGACACCAAGCGGTGGTAACAGTAATAGTAACGCTTTCACCTTTAGCGAGAAACGTTCACGACTCTTTCGCACGTCGAGCAATACACCAAGCGGTGCTGGCAGCGGCAGTGGCAGCGGCATGGGCATGGGCAAGAAAAAGCAGACACTCAGCTTAACAGCTGAGCCGCGTTCAGTATTAGAGACATGTTTGTCGCCGACGAATGTTGAGCCACGCAAAATGTTGCTCGACCAGCTGAGTCGCATATTCGCCAATGAGGATACCATATTGCCGGATGTGGTTACAATAATAAGTCCCCCGGAGGCGCTCATCGGCAGTGCACTGATACCAAAGTTGACAACATTGTTGGCGAACTCCTTTAAGCCATCGTTTGTGCCGCAAAATACAGCCGAGGTGAAGGCGGTGCTGCAGGCATTGATGGGCAAAATACAGAAATAGTAAGTGTACACCACAGATGCTGACGAAATTTGAATTTTTAATACCATTTTTTTTTGTTTGTTTTATTTTGTCTCACTTGCAGCTGCAACTCGAATGCAAAGCCACCAAATACGGTGAAAATCTTGCTTTTGGGCGGTGATTGGCTGCAGGGCGCCGCATTACGCCATTACGTTGAGTTGATGGGTGTACGTCCACCGGATTGGCTCAATCACTTGCGTTTCTACATTGTGCCCATCGGCAGTGGCAGCACAATTGCACGCTATCTTAGTCAAGTCGATTTGACATATGGTGCCATGTTTGGCTCGGACAATTGGTATCAGTTGTGCGAGCGTGTAGCGGCAACTGCCGCGGCTGTCAGCGCTGTAACGACAGTGAACGCGTCGGCGTTGTCAACAACACTCGGCGATTCGGCAACGGCGAATAAGTCGGACATTGTGGAGATGGTGCAACGCATACAGCGTTATTTACATGCCGCTGGCCCGTGTACACAGATACCCATCGGTGAGGCCATGGTCAATTACAAGGACGAGGATTCATGTCAGATATTTGTGCCATTCGTTAGTGTAAGTGAACAATGAATTTATTCACCTTGACTTCACTTTAGCTCTATAACTCTGAAAATTTTTCTTCCACAGGACGTACGCATTGGCTATTTAGAGGGCCCACAGGTCTCGCTCGATCTCGAAGAGAATTCCGCACAATTGGGCGGCTCTAGTGCGCAACAAGCATCAACGGCCATACCGATTGGTGGTCAAAGCAATGCTACAAATATATCTAACACCAATAGCGCTCCATCTGGATCGCCACCACAGAGCGGTCGCATATCACCGCCTCAACAAACGCCACCAACGTCAGCGAATGCGTTACGTGATCGTGGTGGTGATTCACTTGGTACACCAACCGCTGGGCAGTCGAATACGGCGGCTGAATCGGTAGAGCTGCAAGTGGATTATTGGCCCATTATGCGACCAGGTGATTATACGCCCAAGGAGAAGAGTATCACACGCAGCGGTGATCAGGGTGGCAAGAATAGCATTAAGAGCACATTTAGGAATCTACAGGTTTGGCGGCTACCACAAAATGCTCAATTGGGTGAAATGTCCAATGGGTTAACAGTGAATTTCGCTACCAAGGAAAAGAAACAGAAGCAAAGTAAGTTTTGCGGTGTTGTGATTTGATGTGACTTTTCGAAATATATAAATACTTATGTTTCTTTTTAATGCAGTAATGCGTCTGGGCAAGAAGAAGGAAAAAGACCGTGATCTCGAAAAGGAGCAATGCGTCGAAGGTGTGGCGCGTTTGATTTGCTCACCAAAACCATCGCATCCAGTACCGTTGAGAGGTGAGTTTGCTAATATTTCAAAGTTAGAGAGAGAGAGATAGTAAAAGCTAAAGAGAGAGAGCAATAACTATAGAGAGAGAGAGAGAAATAACTAAAGAAAGATAGAGAGAAATAACTAACTAAAGAGAGAGAGAGAGAGAGAACTAACTATAGAGATAGAAAGTGAAAGATAACTAAAAAGAATAAAAAGAAAGATAACTAAAAAGAGTAAAAAGAGAGATAAATAAATTGAGATAAAGAGAATTAGAGACAGGGAGAAAGAGAGATATAACTAAATAGAGAGAGAAAGAAAGAGACAACCAAAGATAGAGAACGAGAGAGTTAGATTTAGAGAGAGAGAGAGCTAGAGAGAGAGCTAGAGAGAGAGCTGGAGAGAGAGCTAGAGAGAGAGCTAGAGAGAGAGCTAGAGAGAGAGCTCTAGAGAGAGAGCTAGAGAGAGGGAGAGAGAGCTGGAGAGAGAGCTAGAGAGAGAGCTAGAGAGAGAGCTGGAGAGAGAGCTAGAGAGAGAGAGAGAGAGCTAGAGAGAGAGAGCTAGAGAGAGAGAGCTAGAGTGAGAGAGAGCTAGAGAGAGAGAGCTAGAGAGAGAGAGAGAGAGCTAGAGAGAGAGAGAGCTAGAGAGAGAGAGAGCTAGAGAGAGTGAGAGCTAGAGAGAGTGAGAGCTAGAGAGAGAGAGATAGAGAGAGGGCTAGAGAAAAGCTAGAGAGAGGGAGAGGTAGAAAGAAAGAAAGAGAGGGAAATGTAATAAGATGGAAAGACCTTTGGATAAGGCGTGATATAACACATATTTATGCAGTTTTCAAGCGGTTCCTTCGAATCACATGACACCAGCTGATCTAGCAGCATTAAAGCGTGTCAAAATGTCGCCATGAAGATGAAAACCAGTTAGAGTAACAGCCGTTATAAATAGCATGAATAGCCAATTTCCGGCCGTAGTTGCCGATTGATTAGAACTGCATGCTAACCTTCGCATAACCAGGGGAATGTCGAGCCCGCCGAGTGTATTTCTGACGCCGAAAGAAAGTTCCTCGTAAAATCCATCTTGTGTTCGCAGGAGACTTATAATAAACTTTAGGTCCCTGCATTTGTTGGAAAATCATATAAATCACGAATTTTAGGAGAAGCTTGAGATGAGGTTTGCTTTAGCGGCTACAAGGCGCCAAGTATATATTTCCGATTTAAAATACACTCCAGTTTCCGAATGCGATAATAAGATAAATAAAAGTAATTTAATATGCATAAATACGCAAATATTAAAAACATTTCTTCTTTTTTCTTTTGCAGTTTTTATCGACGGCACAGAATGGACTGGCGTGAAATTCTTCCAATTGTCATCGCAATGGCAAACACATGTTAAGAATTTTCCAATTGCTCTGATTGGTTGTACGCCAATGTCATGTTCTGAGATATCCTAGTCATTTTAACTACAATAAACCAACATAAAAATATATATACACACTTACAAACAAAACAAACAAAAATAATAATAATAATAATAATATAAACTTTGAGAAATATAAAATAAAACATATTTAATAATTTAATGTAACAATTATACTTATATACAAAACAAATATGATAAATATTTATGCATATAAACATGTAATAATTACATATGTACTACAACAACAACAAGAAGAACTATTGGAACAATAACTTTAAACCATTGTATTGTATTTTATTGTATATTAAAATAGACATACGTACATACATACATGCACGTAAACATTCAAAATGCCTTCATAACTACATTATTATTGTTAAAAGGGCCGTCTATGTGCATAAACGCCCGAAAAATCACGAATACATAAATACATAAAAATATTTAATTAATTTAAAAAAGAAGCATTAATTGGAGATGAACAAAATTAATTTTTATTTTTTTTCTATATGCATATTAATATATGCATATATGCGAATGTACATATGTGCATTAATAATTTTCCTTACATCCCTTTGCTGTTGTAAATTTAGCCATATGCAAAGGAATGCTTTCCATATTTTTTATAAATATTTTGTATGTATTTTTTTTTCTTTTTTTTTTGCAATCATATAAACGCTTTTCTGAAACATACACATACATATGTATATATTTTAATATTTTTTTATTATTATTTCAATTGTAGTAAATATGCTACAAAGCGACTTTTTCAGCTGTCATATCACACTTAGTTAATTAAAAATTAATGAAATAAATAAACTGATTGGTATTTAATTTGATATAAATCAAACGAATTTTTTTTAAAACACAGCAACAACATATATTTAACTATACAAATTGAAAAAATATTGAAAAATTCAAATTAAACTAAAGTGAATTGCGAAACTAAACCATGCTTGCTAAAATATGTATGTAGTTTTTTTTTAATATATACCAAAATATACCTACATACATAAATGAATATAAAAATATTTATAAAAATTATCTCAATGGTAGCTACGCCAATAATGTGTTATATGCAATATATATACATATATAAATATATATATATGTGGAGAAAAACCATGATCATTTACAAACATACATACATACGAGCTACAAATAATATAATAATTAAATCATACAATTTATAGCTTCCTACTACCACCAGCCATATTGAAAAGGAAACAAGAAAAATATTAAATGTTATACAAATACATACGTAGATATATACAAAATAACAAAGCATTAATATAGCATAAAACATTACATACCTACAATATTATTAACATTAAAAAAGAATCCTTAAATAAATGTAAAGCAAATTAACATTAAAACATGCCACCGTGTTCAGTGCACTCTCCTCTAGTGACTGAACTCCAACGAATTTCCATCAATAAAGCAGCTATGTACAACAGAAGTTTTTCCATATTAAATAAATATGTATGTAGTAGTGGAAAAAAATGAAAAAACAACGTGTAATGAGTTTGCATATATAAAATTATTATAAAAAGTTAAAGTTAAAACTAAAAATGAATAGTTACAAACAAACATATGTACGCGCATACAGAAAGTTAACTGTACTAGTTCCAAAAATAGTAATTTTTTTCAAATCTCAACATATGTATGTATGCATGTAGCAAAATAGCAACTATGAAAGGAGTAATACAAAAACGAATACTTTAAGTGAGTTAAATAATAATTGAATATTAAATGACCCAAAAATGCCATGAGAGAGAGATCAACATAAGAAAAATTTATGTTGAAAAATGTTTAAAAAAAAACTGAGTTCTTAAAACATAAAAACAAAAAAAAATGTATATCTGAAACCAAAATTTTAATTTTATGGATTTGAAGAAGTCACAACTTTCTTTTTGTAATAACGAGTTTTCCAAAAAGCGGTGTTATTTCGTTATTCGAACACACTTTTCCCATAAAAAACGCTGGTTTTTGTTGCTTGTGTGGCATATAGCGGTTATGAAAATAAACGTTGTTCAGATCACCAGATACCAACCAATTCTGGCCATAAAAAAATCATTAATCATCTCTCGATAGCGCAATCCTTTTCGGCGTAACTGTTGCTTCAGTGTCATTTTTGAAAGAGTAAGGTTCAATGATCCCGCCGGACCATAAACTGCACTTACATGTTGAGCATGAAGAGGCTTTCAACAATAAATATTGGGTTTTCAATAATAAATATTGGGTTTTCAATAATAAATATTGGGTTTTCAATATTAAATATTGGGTTTGCTTATTTGACGTAGCCATTGAGGTGGAAATGGACCTCATCAGTCAAGATGATTTTTTGACGAAATCCCATTGAAATTTTTATAATGAATTTTAATAATTGCAATGCGTTGATAAAGCGGTTATTGTTTCATTTTTATGACTGACGTAGTTTTTACTTGTCAAATTCCCAAAAATTACAGCTTCAGAGGTGACACCTATGGCAATTGCAGGTTATTCAAAATAACATCTCCAATATGGAAAACCCTAGAAACACAAGGCGAATGTAGAATTTTCTACTTACTTAAAATTTATTTACCACTATTGTTTCATCGCTTGTTAATGACACGAATCACATATTTAATTTTCGTTATCAAAAATTACAAAATTTTCTTTTTGATAGCAACACTTTCTAAACTCCTTGGAAAATCCACTACATAAGCTATTGAAAAATGTTTTTTAAATTACTTATTTTCATGGATTTCTGTTTATTAGCCGCATATAATAAAGTAAGCTTTGCAATAATGAAAGTTTAAAAACTTATACATATACATATACATACACATATCTTCCAGTTGTAAGAGAAATACAAGGTCTTCATTTGTTCAAAATCTCCATTTACAATGAATTATAACATTTTAGCCACACTCTCTCAGCAGTTTTTTGTTCTTTTTTTTTGGGTCATATTGAAATATTTAAACTACAATACATACATACATAACTAAACTCCAAGAACCGTAAAGACACAAGGCACAACAGGAATTACTTGGCGACAAATAGCAAGACACACTTAATATGTGTACTGAAGAAACAAAACAATTGTACGAAATTCGACATGAACGCATACATATTTAAAGTAACTAGAAAAAAATAGTGTTTCGAAATTCAAAACTCTAATTGTTGTGATTTAAAATAAAATAAAAACCGTAGTGTATGCATACCTATTTTATTTGAATATATTAAAATTTACAAAAAAAAAGCTATAAAAGTGTGTGTATGTAATAATAGCGGTAAGTTATTTAAACCCAAAAGAACATGCATATTTGGTAGTGAGAAAAGAGTTATTGTTAAAAAAATGGCGTTTGTAGATTTTTAAGTTTTAAATTTTAATTTAAAATTTTTTTTGCTGCTCATTTACTTGTATTATACTGTATACATACATATAAACTCAACTATTGGCTTGAGCCAAATTAGTTGGACTTATCTAACATTGTTGGACATTATGGGTATATTAATGTTTTTACATAAATACATACATATGTATGTATGTACATATACTTTCTTTTGTATTTTACTGCTATATGTAAATGCAATAAATATGTATGTATGTTGTTATGCTCGTTCCATATAAATTGTGTGTGTGTTTACATGTGCATAAAACTGTACACACATAAAATTATTAAAATTATACATACATATACATAATAAAATAACATATATTCATAATTATACCAACAACTGTAATACCTTAAAACTTTATTAATTCATAATTAAATTCAACAAACGGAAAATGTAATTACACACATTCACGCACGTATATATATACTTGTATGCGTGTTATTGCAATATCTGTGAGCAAGTTGTGCGTTAAGTAATATACATACATATATATGTGTATACATATACTATATAAGAAAAAGTGATGAAGTTGAGTGAAAGCGAAAAATAATATAAACAAAAAAAGAAAAAAAAAACACAAATTTAGTTCATAAGCGTTTTTAATAAAATAAATAAAAATAAAAATTATATTATTTAAACAAAAAAAAAAAAAAAATAAAACCAAAACATAAAAAGACTTGAAAGTAATAATACATAAAAAAAATATAATTTTGATTGTGTTCCATATTTATTTTTGTACTTTTTATTTATACAATTTGAATTCATTTAGGTATGTACATATGTATATATTCGAATACAGCAGCTCCAACAGCGGCCGGTGTGTTTCTATGTTGGCAAATGATCAAATTCGTATTTCAGTACATTTGCGAATTTCGGCAATTAATTTCCTTTGTAACATTTTTGCTTGCCAACAATTAGCTCTTTTGCAATAATTAATAGCAAAAAAAAAAAAAAAAAAAATTCGAGAAACCTCATTACACTATGTATTGATTTTGTTTGATGCGCCAACATCTATTACGCACAAACGAATTGCGAATTAATACAAAATACGTTAGTATCGTTGTTGAAATTTAGACTAAGAAATCTTTATAATTTCTGAGAAGAGGAAAATATGTATTATTCTTTGATATAATTTTATTCTAACATTACTTAGCAGGATTATTTTTAAATAATTACATTTCAATGAATATTTTGAAATAAAAATAGTTTTTTCTTCACTCCTCCAAGGACTGTAATCGCTCCCCCACTTTTTAATGATCAAGCCGTAGGAACTTATGGTTTGCATAGTTTTTATGTTCCAATTTTGTATGCATTTCAAGCTCTAGCCATTTCCTTTCAAACTCGAAACAACTTTGTAGTCGTCAGCTAATCTTGGTCATGAATCTCGCCATCTGTTCGCAATTGTAAATTTTCGCACTTATTCTTTAGACGGATTCGGGCATACAGCAAAAGAAAGGCGCAAAGTACTTCCAAGGTTCAGCGAAAAAAAGTATTTCCCAAAGTAATTTTAGAGAAATGTGGGGGTGACAGTCCTTGGTCTTAGATCGCCGCGGGAACTATTGGTTTTTGGTATACTCTTACTGTAGGCCCGCCTAACCGAGGGCAAATTCTTGAACCTGTAACCCACAGGGGTTCAACGAATTTCATAGTCAAAGCTTTATTCTGCTGCTCTCTTGGAATTTTTTCGAAAATTCGAAAAACAAGTTGTATCCAAGTCTGTTGTATAACTATCAGCTCCAACGCCTATAATTTATGTATTCTTTTTGTCTGCTTTCTGCGCCATACGAATTGGACTAAAGGTGTTCCATTGTTTTGACTAGCGAAATCATCTGGTTAGTCATTCGGGTCTCAAGCAGCAACTGGAGCTCTTCGTCCGTTCTTGGATTTGTTGCTGTGAATGTCGTTTAAGAACTAGCACCACATACGCTTCCACTAATTTTACTTTTCAGCCAAGCCATTCGGGTGTATTTCTGATATGAATTAAAGGCTCGACAAAGAATTTAACGGCCGTTCGGAGGCTGCTTAGAATTAACTGTAGGTGTCGTACGTGTAAGGGAAGTTTGACCGAAAATCTTTCTATCTCTTTATCTTTATGCTTAATTAACGTTTTTGAAGCCGAAAAATTATTAGTAATTTAAAACCCAATGAAGTCGGGTAATGTAACTGCTAATTTAATTACACAACATCACACGGTCTTGTAAGTTTTTCGAAGGTTTTTGACGTGCTGAATCTGAATCTGTTGAGATATTCCAACCTAAAAGTGCAAAATACGCGTTTTTTTGCTGCATTTTAGGTCATGCCGCTTTTGGAATCATGAAATCCGATGACAATTTTCAAATATTTAAAATGGCGGATCCAATATGGTTGAAGATTTTTTAAAAATTATTTGGATTTGCCGAAAAATTGCTCCACGGGGTTTTTGGGGTTGCTGATTACGATCTAGACAATTTCTGAATATTGACGAATTTGGCAAATTAAGTTAATTAAATAGACTATTTCTCAAAGGCAAAAATGGATTTTCTAAAAATTCAAATAGGCTTTTGAAGAGTGGAAGGGGTACTTTCAGGTAGAATAACGATCAAAAACGTTTGTTTTTTTTTGCACTTTTAGGTTGGATTATCTCAAAAACTTGACCTGCTGTTTTAAATCTAGATTCGGGTTCAGTACATCAAAAACCTTCGGAAAAAGTATAGTTCTGTTCCTGGTTACAAAATTTAACCAAATTTTGGTGGCCTGCGTTATTATTAATTTTGTTATTTGAAAAATTCTGTTTTGAAAATTGCTTGAAACAATAACTGCATAAAATATTTTGAAATTTATCCCATTGAAAGATTTACAAATAAATAAACGCTATAAAAAATATTTTTATGTTTTTAATGTAATTTAGAAATAGTTATGTATGTAAAAGAGTTGGAAACAATATACATATGAGTACAAGGACAGAGTATAGTAGCAAGTGTTGATTTTTTTTTTAAATTATATACATATATGTATGACATTTTATGTATTACAGTAAAATAATATATATTAGTGTGATTGACTGAATTTTGTGGGAATTAATTATAACATACTTGTACTACAAACATACATACATACATAAAATATTAAACTGAATGTTTTTATTCTTATAATGTAGTGAAAAGGTCATATACACACGAGTACATATAATAGGAGGTTTTTTGAAAACAAACTAAAGTTAATAAATATAAACATAAATTAGCAAACTATACTAAAATAGTTCTTAAGTGAGTTAAATGAAAACAAAAAAGAAACGATAAATAAATATATCAGTATTTTAGAGTTCCAACATAAAATCCATAATGCATTTTTATTAACTTTCTTAATTTTTTTTTTTGTTCTTTATTTTATTTTATTTCACTGTTATTAAGTACATATATACATAAAATAGGTTACATTTTTAAAGAGCATTTGTTTGAGGTTTCTATAAAAAATCTTTCAATTCATTGTATATTTATATAAATGAGCTTGCGGCAACTTGTTTACAATTATGGCACGTTCTCTTAAACCTAAATCGCCACCGATACCACCAAGTGGCAGTAGAAAATCACAATCAGGATAGCCTTTAGGCTGTTCAAATTCAATAAGATTGGCATTACTATCGCTTAAAGCGGCCATTGACCAGACCGCCAGATTTTTCGCTTTACCATGACGTGCAAGCAAGAAAAGCTGAAATTTCAAAGTAGATAAATAAGAGATTATTTTTTTTTCTTTTTAAATATATTGAGTATACCTCATTGTTATCGCTTATTAAATAGCCAATGATGAGCGCCCAATGCGCTTTATGACCATATTTTAGGCATGGCGAGTGATTGTGGTCTGGATCATACCTATTTATTACAGTGCGCAAAAATTAACAACAAAATAGTTAAGGAAATTTTAGCTGTCACTACAAAATTTTTAATATACATAGTACATACATACATATATTAATCAAAAAAGATGGATAATTTCCAAATTTCAAACTTTCATAATTTATTTCGTTACGGTATTACATTACAATCTATTCATTACAAAAATATTTATTGTAAATATTATTTTCGCTTTAACCCACTCTCATAGGTGGTGATACCAAAATTACGCCATCGCCACGCACAAACAGCATGGGAATTGTACGCTTTGTCGTTTTATAAACTTCTTCATAAGTTTCTTCATCAATTTCCACAGTGGTTACTGTTTCTTCAGCATCGCCTAGTACCATATTCAAATGTTGATCGAAGGCCTTTTGAATGAAGAGATAAAATATGGTTTTAGTGTTCGTCGCCTACAATTTTGCTATAAAATTATATTAATATGAAAAAATGCCGAAATTTCAATAAATCCTATGCTAATGGAAAAATTTTAGTAGTCCAACTTTACACGCCGGCTTTTATGCATGCGTTTGGAAGATTTTTTTCAAATATCCCAAATTAGCCCTCACTACAGCCTTTTCCATTTTCGAAGTAAAAATATTGTGGGCATTTGCTTATCCACAATGCCTTATGACAAGTTTTTGCCTCTTTACTAAACTCTTGCCTCTTGCCATTAATTAAGCATGAGGGCTCAAATCCGTTTTTATTTTTTATATAGCGATGCACTTACATGTAGTCGTCCACGCAATTCCCGCTCATTGCGCATTTTAACATAAACTTTCTCATCCAAACTCAATCTAATCAAGTCCAGCGGCTCCTTGACCGGCAGCACTTGTATCTAATGATTGAAAAATTGAGGTTAGCAGAGGTGATATCAATGTAGCTTAAACCCGTATACTTACTTGTTCTTCCTCAGCGGCCATTGATCAAGAGTATTTACTTTTTATACGGCAAAATAGTTTAATTAAAAATTATTAAGCACTTATGCAAAATAATGCTTTAACGCGCAAAGTAAACTTTGACGTTTATCAAATGTCAAACGGATTGTCAAAAGAGAAAAAGCAAATCAGCTGGGCCACAAGCTGGTAAAACAAACTTGCACAAAGGCCAACAAAACAAATAAATAAAATTATTACTGATCAAATATTTACGATAGTTGTAAAATATATAATATTTAACAGGCAAACATAAGGAATAAAAGTGCGTAATTGAATGCATGTTTGTACTATAACTTGAATACCTGTTAACTAAGTATTTTACCAACCCTTTCTAACTACAAATACAATTTTAAAGATTATTTTTGAAAAGGATACGGCACGAAAATACAAGCACCCTCTTGCAATGCTGATTTAACCTTGGCGCAGTCAAGTGGGCCTTGATGCAATTCGCATTCCGCTGCCGCCAACACATTCCTGCGTTCATTGACATTCGCTTCTGTTGCCAAAATACCATTCGTTGTTGGGTGGGGTTTTATTGCGCTTATCGCTTCGGCTGTTGTAGAATTTTTCTTTGTCTTCAGCGTATCACAAATAAGTTGAAATAAATTTTGTGCACTAAACATTTCGCCATTGTTGGTGTAACGAAGTTCTTTTGCTATCCGCAGTAGTTCACCTGCAGTGGGTGTGCCATTCAAAAGCATGCTTAACGCCGTCAGACCACAGGTGGGTCCTTCCTGTAAAATGGCAGTTACATCACGCAACTGATAATAACGTGGAGGCCTGTCCTCACATACGCGTGCGAGAAAACACGCCTTTTGCAATTCGGGGAATTCCAATGCCCATGTACATGATGATAGTTGAGGATAACTTACTGGCGCGGGTGATAAATATTTTTTGGCAGTGGTTGATTGATGTAATGGTGGAGATGGTGGTGGCGAAACAGGCAAAGTTTGCGACATTTATTTTATTTATATCTCGATATTATATAATAATTTGACTAAGTTTTATCACCACTGCAAAACACACACACATTGACACAATACGGCAATTATAAAGGAAATATTCGTATTTTTAGCACTGCTGCATGTCTAGTAGCACAATTCACGCTCCACTGCTTACTCACTTTTCCCACGGTCTAGATTCGTGTCCAATCTAACACGCAAACAATTCGCAAAGGCCATATAATTTTTATTGAATCAGTTTTATGTGGGAATTTCGTAAATATTTACGAATTTCAAGAGAAGCAAACGAACAAAAACATTGGGCGTCATCTATGTGTCGATATAATTATAAAGAAAAACAAAGAAGTTGATGTAAAGCGATGGCGCAAATGTTAAATCTCATCAGTTCGTTTAGCACGTACAAGACCCAATGGGGAACTGGTCGAAATTGAAGACGCGACCCATCAGGGAACTGCTGAACTTGCATAAAATAAAATAAAAATTAAATAAATAAAATAAATTAAATTAACATAAACTAAGGTTAAGGCAAGGGAAATAAATATACGTAAATAAATAATAAATCCTCCCCATCCATAAAAAGTAATTAATTAATTTTTTTTTTAAATTAATTTTGTTATGTTAACCCCTTTTTAACTATCTTATCTCGTAGCAAAACGTAGAACGTTATTTATGCATCCCTGCCCACAACCAGTTCCTCATCCTCCTCCCGTGCGAGGGCTACCCAGCAGCTCCTAGTCCCCCGCACAGTTTGTTCCGTGTGTCAGGCCATAGTGCGTCGGAACATGACCTCAGTCAGATGCAACTCTTGCTCTGGGTGGTGTCATTTTCGGACCTGCTTTGGCCTGCGCACCACCCGTGAGTGGAGCGATGCATGTGTTTCCCCGTGCTGTAGGAGTCTGCCCCCGTTTATTTCGACAAACCCTCCGCCAACTAACTCCAATGTGCGGAACCAACCTTGCGGGCATTACAGCAGCAACACACTCCATCCGCGCATCACTCCCTCACCCCCCTAATCACGAACATTCCCCCGAGACAGACCCGACTCCTATAATTCAACTGCAACGGACTCCAGGGAAAGATTGACGAGATAGTCGACTACGATCCAGGAAACGAAGTTGACCGCCCGATCAGATCTTCTGAGCCGGGCCGGATACAACATAATCCGCATGGATCGCGAGCGAGACCATGGTGGGAGCCTAGCTTTCATCCTACACAACACCGTGCAGTATCGTCTTATCGATGGCGACATCGACCGCAGTGATACTACCCTAAAATGTCAGGGCATAGTTATCCGGTCAGGCGATGCCGAGCTCGAGATAGTCCATATATACATTCCTCCAGTAACAAGTTGCCTAACAGGATTCCCCCTGATATAGGTGCGCTACTTTGGGCGACTTTAACGCGCATCACGATCCTTGGCATTCTAGCAGCTAGAACAGATAGACGGTTCGACATTCTGCACAATGAACGACAACAGACGTCAGGTGCCACCACTGGTGAGTGTTTATTCCGTAGGGTGGTCGTGGCCGCTGCCGCCCGTTTCATCCCGACAGGCCGAATTGCGAAAACCCGCCCAAATTTTCCGACAGAAGACGCGGTATTAGCATCCAGGCGTAGCCCTCTCCGAAGTTTCGATCCCGGGAATCCCCTAATCAGGGATTTAAGCGCGGAGATTCGTAGAGTAGTCAGCAACCATAAGCGGAGAAATTGCGAGGAACACTTCAGGAACTGCAACCTCTCCTCTGGGGCAACCAAGCTCCGGGCTACAGTCAAGTCGCTGTCTAACCCGGCGAGACGCGATGGCGGGGCGGAAATTTCATTCGGTGATCGCGTTTCTTGGACCTCCCATTAGATGACCTGTCCCTAAGCGGAGTTAGCAAACCGCTACAACAACAACACGAGTTCTGCCTATATCAATTTCACCACAAGAAAGCCAGTTGGCGCGGCGCTTAATGCACGATCACTCCAAAATTATAATTCAATAATTTGAAGCCTTAAAATTGTAACATTTTTGCAAGCTCAGACGATATGAGTATGACAGGTATTTAAATATGTATGCATATAGGTTTTTATATATTTATATATTTGGCCTTAGTTCAATTATGTAATTTATTTTCTGTAATTTAATTAAATGTATTTTATTTTGTATCTCTATTTCATTTTATTTTATTTATTGTAATTTATTTAAATAAATAATTTTTTTTTATTCTAATATTTTTTTTTATTTACTTTGAGTTGGTTTCATATGTATGTATATACGTTCCTTCTCATTATATTAACATTTTCTAGTTTAATCGACCAATTTGTTTGTAGTCACCACGACTTTATTATTTACTCAACACATCTGAGGAGAGCTCGTCTAGTAAATAACGTTAACAGGAAGGACCAGCCAAGCAACCGCAATGTATCTGCTCATGAAAACGGAAAAGCTCAAATAAAGACAATTTTCTTGAAAAGTTATATACAAAATTGTATTTGCTTCTTACTTACACTAAAATATGAATAATTTTTACAAAATTAATACTATTTTTAAGTACAAAAATACGAAACTACATCTATGTGACCAGATTTTTACTTATAATTATTAAGAGCTATTATTTCTCTTTCTGCTGCTGAAACGTGATTTTGTTCTTGAACCACGCCATAAATTCATTATATGAGTTTCTCTCACTGTTTGCGTTTGCTGAGTTTCGGTACTCGCCGTTGTTGTGGAAGTAGTGGGAGCATTAAACTCAGTGGTCTCTTTAGTAAACACTTTCGGTGAAGTTCCAGTCTGCGCGGAAATTATTTCAGCTGGGCTTTCCGTTAAGCTCATCGTTGAAAAACTCTCACTCAAAACACTTCCTTCATCCTCATTTAATATATCATCCAAAGTTTTCCGAGCGAGTCTGGGTAGGTAGGCATCGTTTTGAATAGGACCAGGCTGTTCATAACCTTTTTGAGTAAGATTTTTCAAAACATTTGCACAGTCACCTCTACCAAGTACTTTCAGCGCTGAAAAATAAGAGTAGGAGGCTTAAGTTGTGCGCTGTAGAAGAAATCTTCTTATTGACTATTTGAGTTTAGCAAACTATAAATTAAATTTCAGGAACTTGTATTCAATAAAAGACCTTTCCAAAAGCTTTTTTTTTTGCCAAGAATCGTTATCGATCACTTTTTTAGCACCCATCATTACTTACCGTTACTGCGGCAAAGCGCATAATCCAGATGACACTGATTGATTATCGTATAGTTGAGGCCTTGCCTTGAGACACAAAACGGATCGTAATCCGTTGTACAATTTAGTATACAATTTCGACAATAGCCATCATTAACGACAGTCCAAGCTGTTGGAGAATGAAAATACATAAACAAATTAATTAATAAATAGACTACATGCATTCAAATAAAAAAAAGAGCTGAAAAAATTGCAAAAATTAGTCCGAAATACAGGCCAGTTCCACGGGTTTTCTGATCAAATCAATTCAAAACTGCTCAGGATAGTTACTAACCTATCGTGACGAAACAAGTTATAGATTAGGTCCAGTAAAAAGCACTCCATTATTTTTTTTATTTATTTACCGAATTATGCCAAATAAGCATAGTTTTGAAGTTAATGTCCCTAAAGGCGAAAAATTGTGACAGTCGAATTTAACTGGCATCTTTTGAAGCAATTTCTCATTCGCCGTAAACAGGAATGGATGACAATCATTTGTTGCGAATTTAGGACTATACGGTGGATGCATAATAATCTCGCAAAGAGGCTATCGGAGCTTCTGGGCGTCACTAGCGCTATGCGTGGTCTGGCGTTGTTTTGATGAAACACAATTCCCCTGCTGCTGGTCAAATCTGGGCGCTTCGGGGCGCTTACTTCCTTCAGACGGTACGATTGCTAACAGTACAGGTCCAAATTAAAATTTTGATCGAGGCTTAGCAGCTCTTAGTGCAGTATACCTCGAGCTTCTTGGGTATCCAATCTTACTTAAGTGGTTCCAAACTGTTTCTGGCTCAATGTTTAGCTCCAGTGCAATCGAAAGAGTGCTCGCATGAGGGTCAGATTCGACGGTTTTCATTATTTTATCGCTTTTTTAGTCATTTCGTAGTCATTTGGCCTTACATACACCGTGGATCATATTTTACATCAAAATTACTGGTATCCCTCTTTGACATTACTGAGTTGAGAGATCTGCACTTCTCTCCTTATATTTTTTAGTACAAAATATCATCTTTCTAACGCCATCCCGCGTAATCCAATCGCACTTATGGAATGCGAGATGCAGACAATTTAATATATTTAATGTGTCATGAGGACTAAAGCTGGCTGTCCATAAACACCCTCTCTTTCCTGACGGTGTCGTCGGAACTAATTAGTAATATTTGTGAGGGCGGGTTGACCGTTCTTTAAGTAGTTACCGAAGGCTTGAAGAATATCTAATAACATATTTCTATTTCCTTTTAGAATATTACTGAAGGTACTGACTTTTCCAGCTGCCTTTTAGTTAGGTAGTCTTCTATTTCAATATTCCTTTAATTTTTCTCTTATGAAGCCAGAAATATATGACTCTACTGTAGTTGGAACACACTGTTTCGACGAACGCTGCAAAACTAACTATTTGCGCTACGTTCTTCCAATCGAAAACGCCGCTGGGTGGCATTGGAATCTCGTGCTCTCCGTCTATTAATCGAGTGGAGCGGAAACAAGTTATTTCCACCTGCTCTACTTCAAGTTTTGACATTATTTCAATCGGAACTTGAAGATGAAACAGAGCTGGTGTGCTCTAGTATCGCATAAGTGGTGCCCGTAACCTGAATGTCCTTTAGCAGAGCAACGGAGCGGAAGCTGTGGCTTTTCAACCGTAAAAGAAAATGTTAAACTGGAGGCATTGCCTCGTCAGCTAACTAATTATCTTGTTGTTAATACAAAATCTTATTAAATACAGGAACGTGTAAGAGAACCGTTTGGTTATTCCTGCGTTGTGGGGGTTCAAGAATTTTCCCGCGATAGGGCATGCCTGTCGTAAAGTCATCTCTTCCCGCAACAGTCCACAAAAAAAATGTATATATGTATCCTGAAACGATTTTCGGCCGAGCTCCTTTTCCGATTTGTGGTTTTGCGTCTTGGATTTTTTCCCAACAAATGGAGGGACCTACAGTTTATACTAAGACACCTCTGAACGGCTCCGAAATACACTATGAGGGGTGAACATTCCCTGCCGAGGGGTGACCGCAATTAGAAAATTTAATTTGGATGTTTGTGGTACCAGGATTTGAGCCCGAGCCTTCCGAATATCAAAAAATTGTTAACCACTCGGTTACCGCGTCTGCCTCGTTTGGGAAATACTTTTGCGACTACAACAACAATAACGGATTCGGTAGGTATTTCTTCAGAGGGGTGTGTTGGTGCGGCTATGAGGTTATATATTTCGCCTTCATGAGTTTTTGATTGTGTTTGATCGAGTCCAAGTTTTTTTTCCATATTCGTTGTGTCACTATTATGTAAGATCCTGAACCAATCATGTAGCTGAAGGACTTTTAAGCCCTATTTTTAATATTATACTTATTAATTTATACTTTTAACTCCTCACTTCACTGTCTGCTGTCTTCAACTTAAGGTCTCATTTTACGCACCTCTGAGTTCTTACACCCCGCCTGCGACTAGTTAGGACTTCTTTTCGTAACTTATAACAACAAAAATATTTTACTCACCTTCATTTAAAATTACATTCCTCAGTAGCAGTTCGCAGATATTTTCAAATTTGTGGGCTCTGTATTTCGCTGAACTGCCACAAACAGAACCAGCACCAAACTTGCACACCGACACGCGATCATCGACCGCCGGAAATAAGCGTATACTATGCGGCATGGTATCCAATGAAGACTCACCGCAAAACATTGCTCCAAAGGGTTGACTGTATTGGAGAATACTACGCATTTGCCCACCATACGCACTGAACACATCATTATTCATATAATTGGTATTTTCGATATTTGCTGTCCACGGCACATCCTCCTTCATACCCAAATAAGGTGCATTTAGATTATACGTTACAGTGGCTGTGCCAACCGGCCAACTACGTTTTTCAATTACGTTTTTGTGCGTTTCAGAGCTGGCGTAATCCTCTGCACAGACGCCCGTGGAGAATATTTGCCAAGCTGTAAGGGAGGGGGGGGAAACGAAAGGATTTGTTATGTTTTTTTTTTCTTGCTGTTGCTTTCAGAAAATATGCAACGCGAGTGCTTCATTTTCCACCTACTTTTGCCAAAATTAATGTTCTCCGCATTCACGAGACATTCGTTGATGAAAGTCGCCTTGACGCCAAGGAGCTCAGCGCAAACTGGATTGAATACCTTCGGGCAGGGTATAGACTTTCCACGAAATTTTTTTACTCGCTTCGCTGGTAGTTTTTCTCGGCTTAACTTATCTGCTGTAGTGGAGATAGTTGTTGTGCTTTGCGCTTGGGAAGTTGTCGTTGTGGGTATTTGGTCCGGATCGGCGTTCATTTTAAGGCAAACGTCGGATTGTATAAGTTGCCAATCTGTAAACAGAATTTAATAAAGATTTTCAGTTTAAATCATTTATTCATCGCGCATTATATACAGTTAGAAAAAATTCCGAGTGGGTGAATACATTTCTCGGAGCTATGAGGAATATCCGCAGAGACATCCAAGCTATTTCAGGAAGGGAGAAGCTTATCGATAGACGTTCTCTTACACATGGCTAACCTTCTATTTTTACTTTTTTTGCCCACGAACCCAACGCTAACTACCTCCTATCGCCCAACCAATTGCGGTCCACACTGGAAGAATAATCGAAATATCCAAGAGACCAGCGAGCGGAAACTAATGACTAATGAGCCGTAAACGACTATTACAAAGAGGGGGATTTTTATTCCCATCCCAGGGTAAATTGCTAAGTGCGAAAACCGATTCATACTAGCTTTTGTATAGATTCCAATTCATCGAAAAATTCTGAAATTTCTTGAAGTTGGGCTTGTTGCAAAGAATCCCAACTGAATAACTGTTTTTTTTTGAGTTAAACATACATACTCTCTTATAATGAAAGAAACACATTAAACTTTCGTGAGATATCACATTCGGAATTAAGTAGTGTATAAGACTCTCTCTTAGGCTCTTGGATCGATTGACATAGAATAAGTACTAATTTTACACCCCCTCCAGTATGAGCTTCGACAATTTTTACCACGAGAATTCCAAACAGAAATAAATAGAACACGAACGTACTGGATCAGGGAGCCATATCCAAGTTTACAGACGGCTCACAGCTCGATAAATAAGTGTGCAAGACTGTGGAGTCCACTCTCCAAGTACTCTCTAAGTAAATATGACCATAAGACTACCAATGCGCTGCAGCGTGTTCCAAGTAGAACTCCTTGCAATCATGGAAGCCGCCGAGTGGCTGTTCAAATCTACCCCAGCAAGACAATCAATTACGACATATTCCGACAAGCAAGTGGCTATGAAAGGTAGAAGTAATCTGAACACACTCTCGACTAAATGCAACACTGGCGTTTTCTGGGTACCTGGACACTGTGACATCCCAGGCAATAGCTGAACTAGCGGCAGAATAAACCCTTTTATCTGCAATAAAACATGCACACGATGCAGCTTTGCCTTGGATCACGGTAAAGTATAAGCTTAAACTGGCCTTTGTCATAGCAACAGACTCTAGATATCTGAAAGAGATCACGTTTATCGTGATCCCAGATAGGTTTGGACAAAAGTGGAAGCGAAAAAATCAAAATATCTTATCTTTTTAGACAGCCAAAACTGGACCTAGTTTTTGCAGGACACTTGAAATGGGTCAAACATTCGAGAAGATGAAGACAGTAGCCTCACAGAAGAAGAAGAAGAAATTCTTAAGCGTACTGTTATATCGACATAAAAGTAGTGAGAACTAGTGGGACATAGGCCTAGTCTTCATTATATTTAACTGAAGGGTGGAAGCTCACAGTTGCTTCTCTGTTGCTCTGATAATCACACTTCGATCGTGGTCGAAAAAATCAGTCTCAGATATTTTTCCACCACAGTACATCAGTTCTATTGTCTTAATTTTTTTCTAGCGAATTGAGTTTATTCTAATCCGTCTTCGAACGGTTAATGGATTTCAATGAGGAGCTTTTTTATTTTGTAGCAGAAATATACTCGGATGGGTCCATATTCCCGGTCGAGCGTCGATAGTCCTTAAATTTTTGGAAGTGGTTCAGGCCAGTATGAGTCCAAAACTTACCGCATGGTAAAACACCGTGAAACGACTCAGCAGTAATCTAGGTTAAGTGAGAAGACATTTTGAGTCTGATAAGTGCGGAAGAACAGAGCTTTCGATTCATACTTTCGACTTTCTTTGGCAACTCCTTCCGATACATGGCATGATTATTTACCAAAAAATATATCCTAGGCGGCCAAAATAGCCGAGTGTTTAGCTTTGCATACTGCTATTCGGAAGGCTCGGGTTCGAATCTCCGTGCGACCAACATCCAAATGTTATAGAAAACTAATTTAAATAAAAAATTAAGTTAAATTTTCTATTTGTGGTCGCCCTTCGGCAAGGAATGTCAACTCCTCCGGGTGTATTTCCGACATGAAATAAAAGCTCCTCATAAAAAAAAAAACATTAGCCGCTCGGAGGCGGCTTAGTATAAACTGTAGGTCCCTCCATTTTATTGGAAAAACATTAAGACGCAAAACCACAAATTGGAGGAGGAGCTCGGCCGTAAATCGCTTCAGCGGTTTCAAACTGCCCAGTATTTATATAATTGCTATCGCCCCTCGGCAAAAATGTCAAACTCTGCGAGTGTATTTTTTACATGAATAAAATTTCCTTATAAAACCCATAGGCTGTCGGAGGTGGCTTGGAATAAATTTTAGGTCCCTACATATGTTGTTTTACTCTGTTTATACATTTTCTCTTCCTTTGTCCCCGGATTCTGAGTTATTTGCCATAAAACGAAAAAGTCAACAGATCTACCTTTTGGCGTATACACCAACTCAAGGGATTGAAAGCTTGACCGATCATGAAAGCAAAATATTTTATTGCAAGCTAGACATCAGCAGAGACCCAACCTCTATCAACTTTTCTAGTTCTCTTCACTACTATATATATATAAATACAGTAGCCCGAAAACTACATATTTAAAGTGAAATTTATTTACTCACCATTGCCATTGAGACACACATCGCGCGCCATATTACACTGCCCACTGAAGCTGCGGACTTCATCACTTTGTACATTTCGGGCACAAATCGGTTGCCCGCCGTCCTCACAAATTACAGCGCTACAACCAGATCGACACAATCCCATCGCAATTTCCCTAAAAACTTTTAACATTAAATATTAAAAACAAAATAAAAATAAAAAAAGTTTCAAAAATAAAAAATAAAAGTAAGATAAATAAAAACCGCAATAAAAAAAAAAGAAACTAACAACAATGTGAATAATTTTTGGAAACTAGCGCATTTATCACATGATGACACAGTGGCATAGTTCACATTGCGCAGGTGGGTTTAGTAACTCACCCGCTCCCGCTGCGTTTCCTTTGTGCCCAGCGTTCAAAGGTTGACGCTCACGGTTGGTTTGCTCCAGTAAATATGCACTACCGAAGAGCACATAGTCGACATTGTTGACTGTGGCACAAATGGGACACCAGCTAGAGCTGTTCGCGCTGCTGCAGTTTGTCAATGTTTTGTCCATCAGCGTTGCTGACATTAGCGCGGGTGAGGATGAGGGTGTTGCTGAGACGAATCCGCTGGGTTGTGGCGGTGAGCTACTGCTCGCATTGCTGATGTTATTTTGCAACGTGGCCACACTGCCGCTCATCAACTGGGTGAACAACAACCAAAAGTGAATTGCTGTGACGTAGGCGATGCGTTGGTCTGCGGATACGTGCTTTAAGCACCGCGCTGCCAACATTTTCTCCTCTGGGTATTATGTGGAAACGCTAAACGCAGAAGCAGCGACGACACACAACGGAAAAAAAACAAAGAAAAAAAAAACACTGTATATATTAGAAGCGGGTATAGTTGAGGTTGGTGTTTGCGGCTGGTGGCTGGTGGCTGTCGTTGAGCGTTTCTACTGCTTGCGAGCGTAGCACGTTTGTGGCGCAGTGGCTTTTGGTTTCGTCTTGACTAATCGTCAGATGCTGTGCCCATAATGGTTTTATATGCACACCACTGCAGCGCCGCTAAGAGCGCACAAAATGTGCACGCACGTCCAAAACTCTCGCTTGAACTTTTCATATCAAATTTTCACGTGCTGAGATTGTACAACCTTGCTAGTGCCTCTTGTGACCAAAGCGCAGCAGCAGCACCCTCCCCGCGGCGATGACAAACATTCGACATCGCACCAGCATCGCACATTCACCAGCTGTTATGGTTGGTGCGTGAAATTCTTGTCGTTCTCAGAGTTTTTTAAAAGAAGATACCCGCGCACACAGCCAACGGCCATTAATTTTCCAAACTTGCACTGACGTTTCTCCGCTCTCTCTCTCCGCTTGCACTATCTACACGCTCGCAAGCAAGCAATTGAGCCAATGCAGCGTCAACCACACAACTCGTAAATGCCACTTATTTTGCTGGGTCAGGTGTTGCGGCGATAATTGTGTTGATTCCATATTTTCTTGTCTGTTGCGCACAAATGCGCCATTTCGCATTTTGATTACATTATACGTAGCTTTATCGCTGCGGTGCTTGGCGACGATGTTGTCGGGCGGCTACGTGATTTTTTTGGCATTTTTGAGCCACCAGCTAACTGGTTCGCTGACTGGGGCTGGCTGACTGGCTGGCTTGACTTGGCTGACTATGTGTTTGGCCGATTGTCTTGGTTAACTGCTCCCGGTATGTTGTGCGTTTATTTATCGCTGCAGAAAATTCTTTTGATGTTTTTAATGCATCTCCGGAAAGTTATTCATTCATAAAAGAATTTATCTGTATATGATTTGCTTGAAACGATTACTTTGCAGTAGAAATTTTATGAATGGCTGCAAGTGCTGCGACTGATATGAAGTTGGTAGAGATCAGTGACACCGTTAGCTCTCTTGATAATACTTTTATCTTTGCCGTCTGCTTCTGAGTGTAGGGCATTGAATGAACTCCATCTCGAAATGCGTGGTTAATAGATTCGTCTGGTCTAAAATGAAGCCTGGAAGGTCAGGTCAGCCTATTTTAATTCCAAGTTCAAAACCCTCGCACTTAGTGGAGCTTATGAGCGAACATTATCCCATGAGAATACAAGAGGTATACCTTCGAATTTTTTCTGATTCCGACTATCGTAGTTCTTTGAAGAAAAAGATGGTGTCATCTATGCACTGATTAAATATTCTGCATTTGTAAGAGTGACACTGAAAATTCTCTCATCTCATACGTTTAGCGACTTGAAGGAGTTAACAGGCGAATTTGTAGATTCACTCTTCGTAGTTGCGGTCTATGTGGAAACTTTTTAGAATTAGCTTCAACTTCAACCCAACCTAGCCTACTCTTAGCTTATCTCCTTTCATTTTGGTGTAAGTCACGGTCATATTTTTGTTGTAGAATCTTTACTTCATTTTGATATTTTTACGCCGAGTTTACCCCATTCTTTTCGCTTCCTATCTCGAATTGATACCGACCGGCTCGAAGTAGTGCTTCCCAAAACTGGCAGATATTTTTTATCAACGTGACATGACATATATCCTTAACGACTCCCTGCAACAGTTTAACGATGTCGAGTCGCAGCTTCGAATCGGCCAGTTACCTCCGTTTCGACTATATGATTTATGAACACAAAATATCGATTATAATGTTGGCTCTTAAGCATTTGAAAACAATTCATCTCTGAGCATGACACAGTATCGATGGAAGGAAGGACAAATAATTTTGCCGGTCTCTTGCTGATTATGCAATGTCCTTTCTGTGGTTACGTGTGGAGTTCTTACGTCCCAAACGCTACAGTTTGGCTTGCTAGCGTAGTAGGCGAGATGCCTAGCCGTATTAACCCTTTGTGGCATACTGTAGACTGAACGGTATACGTTTCTACTGGAATTGAAAAAAAAAAAAAAAAAAATTGTGGCGCAATGAAAAAGTTTTACAGTGATCGGATTTAGTTAAAATATGCGCCTTTTTTTACGATGATCTGATTCCATCTAGACGGCAACTTCATAATACCTTCCTCGCAGAAGCCCCTCTCCTTATTTGCGAAGAATTTGGACAGCTACTTTTCACAAGCCTCTTTTGAGTTCAACTTCACACCACTAAGGGCATTCGCCATGGACAGGAACAGGTGGTAATCACTTGGTGGATGCGATAAAACCTCCCATCTAAGCTCACGTAGCTTCTGACGAGTCATCAACGAAGTGTGTGGTCTGGCGTTGTCCTAGCAGAACACTACACCCTTCCTGTTGGCCAATTCTGGACGCTTCTGGTCGATCGCCTGCTTCAAGCGGTCCAGTTGTTCGCAGTAGATGGTAGAATTAAGCGTCTGGCTATATGGGAGCAGCTCATAGTGGATGATTCCCTTCCAATCCCACCAAACACATAGCAAAACCTTCCTGGCCGTCAATTCCGGCTTGGCCACTGTTTGGGACGATTCACCGGCCTTCGACCACGACCGTTTTCACTTGATATTGTCGTATGTAATCCAATTTTCGTCGCCAGTCACCATCCGCTTCAAGAATGGGTCGAGTTCATCCCGTTTCAGCAGCATATCGCAGGCGTTGATTCGGTCATGCCATATGCCGGTCTAACTCGATGTATTCCATGATTTGATCGGTATTTGTCGTCACAGGTCTTCCGCCGGCTGGCTTATCCATGATGTCGTTTTTACAGGCTCTGAATCGTCGAAACCATTCCTCCGCGGTTCGAAGTGATAGGGTACCATTCCCCAAAACACCATTAATCTCACGGAACGTTTTTTTAGCGGATTTTAAAATAGCGCGAATTTCGACGTTAGTGAACTCCATGTTTACACGTCTATAACTGTTGAACGCAATATCCAAACTAATCATGCATGGCGTTGTTCTGTAGGTTATGTCAAGACCTTTCAAATTATGTTTAGTGTACGAGCTCTGTAGCGCTTTGTACATAGCCGCGAAATTCAAAAGACAAAAAAACGGCGATATTTGACAAACTTATAAATTTGCATTTGTAAAAGGGGAACCTTCAGTTGAATGAGGAGGAGCTTATGTTTACAGGTAATGAAAACTTGGGCCTTGATATTCTGGAGCTGGATACTCCTATACAATTTTTTTCCAACTGCCTCAATGAGAACAGATCAAAAAAATTTTCGATTAGATAAATTTTTGTCAGGTACAAAGAGATCCTAACAGCGCTGTTCGGTTTACTGAAGATGACAGTTCATTGAAATGGCATTTATAGTGTCTCTAGTGCCATTTCCTTGAGTTAAAAATTATTGGAGCGATGTCAATTTGAAAAATTTCAATGATAACTCAAACATACTTCCAAGGGAGCACTCTGATCATGACCGGATTCACAAATTTCAACCAGTGGTAGACTCTCTTAATGACGCTTAAAGCGATGTAAGTTGCCATGGAAGTACAACTTCGTGGATGAAATATACCAAATCTGCTTTAACAAAGCCACACGAGTGGGACTATAAAGTCTACGAGTTGAGTGGTTTTTCTGGCTTTGCATATGAAACAGAGATCGAAACTGGTAGGAAAAATGTCGTTTTAGATGGAGAGCCCGGATTTAGGAGAATCGTCCAATGGCGCCATGACGCTAGAACGTATGATCCCAAGGCATCACTACTTTAGGCTTTTTTTAGATAACTATTTTACTTCCCTTCGTTTGTTAGGATATCTGCCTAAATATGGTATTCCCATTCTGGCTATTGTTTGAAGAAATATAATAGAATACCGTATTGCAAGCTGTCGAGACAAAAGGAAATGATGAAGAAGGAAAGAAGGTATTACGAAAATTCGTAAATGGGACAAACAAAAATCAAAGTGCATGCAAAGTACATTAAGCGGTGGTGAGTATTATCAACCTCCTTGACAGTTTCATGGGGATTCATAAGATACGTTTGCGAAGTAAATGGTCTGCGTCTTTTTTACCACTATTTGGACCTAACGATGGCTAATTCCTGATTTTTTTTTTGGAAAAAAGCTGTAAGCTTTTGCAAAATGGGTTTCAAACCTAGTATAAATAATCGGCGGACATTGGAGAACGAGATTCAAGCCAAAAAGCACAAAGAACCTGCTCAGCATCTGGCTCCTAACGTAGTTCGTCAATACCAGATTGGTCAGTGGCCATTGTGGACCGATAAAAAAAATAGAAGCAAGTTTCCAAAATATTCTGGATCCACACACAACGTCTGTGGAAAATGGAAAATGCGGGGTAGAATTAATTTGGACACTCTCACCTTTCTTCGAGTATGGTACACCTACTTATGACACCTTAACTCACTGTTGACCGTAAGTGATTCTCCATATTTTTGTAATTCTCTTAATAAAAATCCATTTATAGGAGTGACAGAGGTTTAATCTGGGATCTGGATTTTTCGCTAAAATCGCCCATCTTTTGCAAAACGATCTTCTAACCATTGAGCCGAGTCAAAATCATGATGGATATTTATGAAGAGCTTCTAATTTCATACCAGCGTTATACGCTTAGGGGTTATCACCCCCTGCTGTAGGCGGAAATTAGAAAAATGAGCTTAACTTTTATACCTTTTCTCATATTTATATGAAATGGTAAACTTTTGTGCGAAAATATGTATGTACATAAGTACCATAAGAGAAGAAATAGTCCCATTAAAACTGTATCCGATCGGGTCACATCTCAGCTGCCACACAGTTTCACTGAAACATTTAAACGATCATTTCTCGCAACCGGCCAAATCTTACTATTATGGTACAGCCTTGGCCAAAAGTATTAGGCACCCCAGTAAAATACAAGTATTCTCAAATGTGGCTATCAA